CGGTACCTTCTGCCAGAGGGGACGGCCATCCCTCTCCCCGGTGCTCTGCCTCTGCACTGAGTTGGTCAGGTCATAGGTCAAGCTATAATAAAAGGACTCTGAGTCCATGAACATCTTCAGCAGCTCCTCAAGTAGTCGTCTCTCCAGCTTCTCCTTCTCTTTACTTTCCTTAACCTGTAAGTACAGGAGTCAGATGTAAAGTTTATAGATAATGCAAGACTTCAAGGGAGGACAACCCCCAAACATGGCAGTCTTCTGATACAAAAACAAACAAACAAAAACCTTCCAGATTAATTTAATTACTCTCTATTTACAGCTAATCAAAGATGGATTCAAAGCCCATGTCAATCAAACTCTTACTTTTTTTTTGTTGGGAACAGAGACGTTGGATTTGATATGTGTAAATGTCTTCAGTAGAAACTTGGAGTCATCAGGGGATGGTATAATCTTCTCTGGCTTGTTAATTCCAAAATGATGCTTCTTACAGAGCTGAATAATTTTAAAAGGATGACTCATTATTAATGATTATCTGCTTTAGATGTTCAAGTATAAGTCTGGAAGTAAATACTACTGCTCACACACTTGGGCTAAAAGTAGAACCCAAGAGTTAGTGAAAGAACCAAGCAGACAGAATACAGCTATGGTTTCAGTAATTAGAGGCCACACTGCAAATAAAATATACGAATACAGGTAAGGATGTACTTAGAATTTAAAGGCAACAAACCCAGGTTCAGAGCACAGTTTACTTTTATCTAATATGTCCAAAGGATACAATGTTCGGGTTGAGGTTATTAATACTTTGAAAACTGGCATCTAAGAATATTGCAAAATACACATCTGCTATGCCTCAAGGTCATTACAAACATCTGTGTTAAATATCCATTTATGCTAATTACCTGAGTGCTTTGGTTGAAAAACTGCCCTGAGTGGGCTCTACAGGGACTCTTAAAAGCTGGACCTTTCAAAACTCTCCACTTATCATTAAAAAAAATAATGAAATCAGCAAATAACATGATTTGGGTCCAGAGACTAGTTAAATTTAAAGAGCAGTAATTAGGGGTTATTAAAAAAAAGTGCAATCCAACTGGCAAAGGTAAGAGGACGGGACTTGAATATGGATGTGTGAGACAGGAACGGGACAGACTGCGCCCACAAAGGAAGAAGGCTGGTGAGAGTCAATTAAATGCTTTACTTTATTAGCTGCCTTGGTCATGATGACCAACAGGTCAATAGAGCAGTAACTAAGACAACTATCTTTGTTTTTATTTCCTTCATTTGCTTTTACCTCAGCTTGGAGGAGCATTCACTTGGGCCTACCATGACCAACAGGTCAATAGAGCAGTAACTAAGACAACTATCTTTGTTTTTATTTCCTTCATTTGCTTTTACCTCAGCTTGGAGAGCATTCACTTGGGCCTACTATCCCTTAGCTTCTTATGAGAAAATCCAAGAACTCTGAGAACTGAGCATTTATTTTTAAACTTTATTAAAACTTCATTTAATAGGAGCTGGAGAAATGGTTCAATAGTTAAGAGCACTTCCAAAGGACCCAGGTTCAATTCCCAGCACCCACATGGCTGTTGGGAACTCTAGTCCCAGGAGATCCAGTACCCTCTTCTGGTCTCCAAGGGCACCAAACATGCATACGGAATGCAGACATACAAGCAGGCAAAACAACCATATACATAAAAAGTTTAATTAAGAGTGCATTTATAAACTATGCCCTGAAAATACATGCCATTCATCATTCACTATTTAGCATAAATGCTTATTTATGAGTATTTAGCACAAATACTCATGATTCTTTAGGAAATATTAGTGTCTTGTTTTGTGGGATATGGCTTCAGAGTCAGTTGGGGGCATAAGTAATACATAGAATAAACTTTTTGATGTGCTTTGAATGAGAAACACCCTCCATAAGCTCATGCATTTGAATACTTAGTCCCCAGCTGGTGGCACTGTTGGGGAAGGTTATGAAACTTTGGGAGGTGAAGACTAATGGATGAAGCATGCCACTGGGCGTGGGCTTTGAGGGTTTACAGCCTCGCCCATCCCTTCCTCTTCTCCCTCCCCACTCTCCTGGGTGAAGATGAAAACGTGAGCAGTCGGCTTCCTTGATCCTCCTGAAATGCTTCGCCTGCCTGTTGCCACACCCTCCCCACACCGTGGACTATGCCCTCTGGAACCTTAGCAAACATAAGACAACTA